GAAGATGAGATGGCTGAGTGTGTCTGGTGTTGTTTCTGCATCTTCTAATCTGTTCCACTGGTCCTCAAGTCTGTTTCTTTGCCAGTGCCATGCTGTTTTTATCACAGTAGCTTTTTAGTTTTTTGGTACGTTTTTAATTACATCTTCAATTTCATTGACTGATATTGGTTTATTTAGGATTTTGATGTCTTCTTGATTCAGCTTTGGTAATTCATATGTATCTAGGAATCTGTCCATTTCTTCTGTGTTTTCCATTTTATTAGAATATAGGTCTTCATTCTTGGGGCCGGGGATTTAGCTCAGTGGTTCCGCTGCCTGCCTGTCAAGCAGAAGGATCTGAGTTCGATCCCCGGTACCCGCCCCCAAAAAGAATATAGGTTTTCAAAGTAAGTATCGATGATTTTCTGGATTTCTGCAAGATCTGTTGTGATTTCACTCTGGATTTGAGTGTTTTCTTTCCTTTTTTTGATAAGGTTTGCTAAGGGTTTTTCATTTTTATTTAATCTTTCAAAGAACCAACTCTTGGATTCATTGATTCTTTGTATTGTTTTCTTAATCTCCATTGCATTAATTCCTGTTATATTTATAATTTCCTCCCTTGTATGGGTTTTGTGCTTGACTTGCTCTTCTTTTTCCAGAAGCTCTTGGTTCATTTGTCTATTTGGGCTCACTTTGTTTTTCTGTTTTTTAACCACTATAAATTTCCCTCATTGGACTGCTTTCATTGTGTCCCACAAATTCTGGTGTGTTGTTTTGGCATTATCTTTTAATTATAGAAACTGTCTAATTTCTTCTTTAATCTGTGACCCATTGGTTATTCAGGAGGGTGTTACTTAATTTCCATTTGTTTACAAAGTTCTTGTGGTTTCTTTTGCCATTGATTAGCTTGCCAATGATTAGCTTGAGAGCCAGGCAGTGGAACCACTGAGCTAAATCCCAGGCCTCCCAAAAAATAGAATTTTTTAAAAATACATCCAAATGACAAGAAAGCATGAAGGAAAAAATAATAAAGGGACAAGTAGAAAGTATCAAGGATTTCCAGTAATTATATAAAGTAAAATAAATGAATGAGCAGTTAATAGACAAAGACTATGGAAATGAATTTTTTAAAAGAAAAAAAATCCAACTATGTCCTATGTATAATAGATATAATTACACAAAAATTAAAAATACTGCAAAAGTATAAATTTTAAATTAATAAATAAAAAACATATCATGAAAACACTAATACTATCAGATACTAACTGGGATGGGTATAAATTTTGCAATATTGAAGAAAGAAGTAAGACATTAAAAATATACAATGTATGATCCTACTTATGTAAGATTTATAAAAGACAAAAATTATACTGTTTAGAAATGATAGGGCTGGGGATTTAGCTCAGTGGTAGTGCACCTGCCTCACAAGCACAAGGTCCTGAGTTCGATTCCCAGTCCCCCCCCCAAAAAAGAAAAGAAATGATAATAGTATCAACAAAAGCAAAGGAATTACTATGAAATGAGACTAGCAGTTGAAAGGAAGAGTATTGATATTGGATGGATATTTAGGGTGAGGGCTTCAAGAGCATCAGCATTGTTCCATATCTCCCCCATGTCTCCCCACTGTTCCATATGTCACCACCCAATTATGTAGGTGTTTGCTTTATGATTACTCATCAGTGAAGCAGCATGCTTTAGCTCTTGATGGACATATTCCAGATCTCATAATTTTTAAATTATGGGACAACACATTTCCAAAAAAGGGCAATATTTATGTGAAATCTTAGATTGTTTTATTGTTTAACCCTAGGAATTTCTATATCCACTTTAGTACAATTCAAGATTAGGAATTCATTGAATTAAATTGAATGTTCAGTTCACGACAAAATATTGTAGGGTACAAATTCAATCCCACATTGAACTTAACATATAAAATAGTTGAATTTGGAGATACATTAAGGAGCATCTTCCTGCGTGTCTTTCTTCACCATCCCACACTCCACTAGTGTTGTGCTCAAAGGAACTTCAAGAGGAATCTTGAAGAGACACTAGCTACTGTAGCTTATACTGGAGTATTTTTCTCTCTTTGAAAGTCATCCCTTTACTGAAGTAAAATTTATATATAGTAACATTCACCATTTTAAGTGTTTGGTTCTAAGAATTTTGACAGAGTTAATGTGATCACCACTACAATCAGGATGTAGAATGCTGCCAATGCACTGGGAATAGTTTTTGTCTTTTTGTTTTTATAGTAATGTATGTATAAAGTAAAAAATAAAAATTTCAAGCAGATATGTAACATCAATAGATATATAATGTCAAAATTCCATCAGAAAAGTTTTATCAAGTTATATCACTGAGGCTGGTCATGGTGGTATATGCCAATAATTCCATCACTCTGGCAGGCTGACATGGGAAGATCCAAAGTTTAAACCCAGCTTGGCCAATTTAACAAATTGCAAGACCCTATCTCCAAAGGAAAAAAAAGGTTATACTGCAAGGGTTAGGAAAAATCTCTAAATGATTACTAAAAACATCCCTTGTTTAAGCAGGGCCAAACATTTAGACTAAGGAAATTTTCATGTCACTATCTCACAGCCAATTGATGTCCATTGTTGGCTTTTCTAATATAGTTAATATTTTTTGTCTGAAAAAAATAATGTTAAATGTTCTGTTCTTTTCTCTGGAACATAGATTGTGAGGAATGAGCTCTTTGAGAAGCATTACAAAAATGGAATCAAGTTTCTGACTTCATTTCCAGATGGGACAACACAAATATTGTATCCTTTCTTTCAACAAGCTCTTTTTATTGGTTTTATTTGCTCAGAAAGAAAAAGAAAGAGAGATGAGAGTAAAAACAGAAAAATAGAGACAAATATTACCCCTAAAATTCTACCACTCAAAGAAAAACTGGGTATATTTTAAAATAAATCTTTCTTTTTTCTGCTTATAAGCATATACATAGTTCTTTAAAATCAATTCTTTAATCATTATATTTTATAACTGGCTTTTATATAATGCAACTAGAATAATAATGTTATGAATATATAAGCGCCAGTCCTATAGCCATACAGTATTTCATTGTATGGACATACTATAATTTATTTAACCTACTTTCTATTACTAAACAAAGGTGGTATCACAATTTTTGGTTTTATACACAGCAGCTAAGAAAACTTTGTTCATAGTCTGTTGTGTACTTATTGCTTATTTCCTTGAACAAAATGCCTAGAGATAAGAAATTTGGATGTTTTAATGTTTTGATAGATTTCCCTCCAAAATATGTACCAGTTTCCACATCCAATGAGCAGCATGTTATTTTTAATAGCAAAATTCAATATCCATTTAATGGACCACAAAGTCATTGATCATTTGGAATTCTGCCTGATAGCCAAGACAATTGATATTCCAACATAAAGGCCACATAATATCTCTAGAAATATTTTTTTAACCTGAAGAGGGATTTTTTATGAACTAAGAGCTTCCCTTTATAGAAAATAATCATTTATAATCATAGTTTCTTAAATGTTCAGTCAAACCTCAATAAGCCAGAAAAATGACTTTCATAACAAGAAGAAGCATAATCAAGTTTTACTTCCTGTGGCTCTGTGAGGAAAAATGTAGAGTTTGTTTTAATTAGATCAATAAATTTTAAACAACTTACTGAAATTTTATTATTAGTTATAATTTATGCCCTGACATTAATTCTTCTTAACTCTCTTGAAGGCTGTGGCTGAATTTCAAAATGATTCAGAGTCAATCTTTCATTTACTTTATCTCTGGACTTCTGATCACCCCAGATATGGATCCAGTAATAACAGTGAACTACCCTCAGAATATTTTTAATGCTACTATAAATGCAGTGGCTTTCTTAATTTCATTTTCAGAATGTTCACTGCTACTGCATAGAAATAAAACTTATTTTTATATTGATTTTTATAGCCTACAATCCTGCTGAACTCATTTATCAGTTTAAATCATTTTGTTTTGTAGATTCTTTAAGCTGCTTTTTCATATACAAGAGCATTTCATCTGCAAACACAGTTTTGCTTCCCTTTCCAATCTGGATACCATTCATTTCCTTTTCTTTCACCAACTTTGCACGGACAGAACTTTCAGTACAATATTGAATAGAAGTAGTGAGAGCAGACATCTTTGTTCAGTGTTTGAGCTTAGGGGGAAAGCACTTATTATTCTAATATTAAGTATAGTTTTAGCTATGAGGTCTTGTAGATGCTATGGGGTCTTCTATGATTTCCCTTGGAAACTTGGGGGACATTTCTCTCTTTTGTAACCTTCGTTTTAGCACAGTGCACACTGGTTGGCTATTGTCCTCTGCTGTCCAACAATCTCCTTGCTTGGGAGGTTGGGTGGCTTAGCAAAGTTGTAGGATTCTTTTAGAGGGGTCTTATCATGCCTTGAGTCTTGGCTTATCTTGGAGGGCTAAGTCCAAAATATTGGCTGTTTTCTTAGTCCAGTTATTTTCCTTACCTTTGGTCCATAAGCCTTGGTTGTTGAACAGCCAGAAGGTCAGTTGTACCAGTCTTGATGTGAGAACAGCAGACTTTAACTATTATAATCTTATCTGAATACAGGGCACTTTGAACTATAAAACATGTCTAGAAAACAGCTACCTCTTTTATCTTGGTCAGCATTAGTTTAGGAGTCAGTGTTATATTTTATGTCTTGTAAATGATGGACTACCATCTTTTTTTTTCAATTTATTGGAGACAGGATCTAGCTATGTAGTCCAGGCTGGCCTCAAACTCATGGCAAAATTCCTACCTCAGCCTCCCAAGTGCTGGGATTATAGGCAGGTGCCTGCCTGGCTTGGCCTACCACCTTAACATACTGCTCAGGTTGTCTTTTAGAAGTCACACTTTCACAGAATGCTAGCAGACAATAGTAAAAAGTTTTACAAGGAAAATTTAAAATTAAGAGGGCTGGGGATTTAGCTCAGTGGTTCCAGCGCCTGCCTCGAGAGCACAAGGTCCCAAGTTCCAACCCCATTACCAAAAAAAAAAAAAAAAAAATTAAAAATTAAGAGCAAACATAGCACTTTAGAATAACAATTACAATGACTAGAACTACTAGGTTCTTTCTATTATCTCTAAAAATACATTTAAATTCCTATTTTAGTATAAAATAACATCAATAACACGTTACCCTTATGTTTGAAAGCTGTTAAGATTTCTTACTATGAAAAGGTGTTGAGGGCCAGGGATTCAGCTCATTGGTTTCACCACCTGCTGCACAAGCACAAGGACCCGAGTTTGATCCCTGGTACCAAAAAAAAAAAAAAAAA